TCATTTCAGTGGTGCAAACACCCGGCCACAAGGAACCCAGGTAGAGCTGAACGCCTCAGATGGGTGGGTGGGGCAGGTATCTGCATTCCATCCAACTCAAGCCTTTCTCTTTGTCACTGTCTTCTCTGGATCTCAGATCAACCTTTAGAAAGGACATTTTAATCCCTCTTTCATGTAACAGTCTTTCTAAAAATTCTGAAGTTATCTCTTATTTTTCCCTCTAGAACTTTCCTTTTTCAGTTCAAAAGATGTTATGTGGAACATGCTAACACTGAAAAATCTTTTTAGACTCTTAGCAATTCTGCTTTCTTTCCTCTGAATTTAAGCCTATTTGTCAGTGACAAACCCAAGCATGCTAACTAGACCAGTCTTCTTTTACAAGCTACAAATGAGAGCCACCTTTCCACCCTCATGTTACACTATATTTTATATTGAATATTTTCCATGTCACAATGGCCTTTAGCATCTCATCTTTCACTCATTTTCACACATGCAAGTGATATAACAAATTTCCAAAAATGGGAATTATTTAACATTTGCATATGATTAATAAAACCAACCTTAGGTAGGGTTTCATTCATGATCTGAACTATGGAGATCACTGTAACTGCTAAAGTTATTCACCAGCTTCGCCAGAAGTTCTTAAAGATTTAAGAGTTCATATTTTCAATCAACTCATTACCACAGCAGTCATACTAATTGAGATTTCACTCCAAATTTACCCTGATCCACTGTGCAATATTCTTTGAAATCTATTTTCCACTCACTTGGAATTTAGCTAACATTATGCTTCTGCTTCCATATATTACTTACAAAAATATCATAAAGGATGTTATCCATTACCTTGCCCAAGGGTACAATCATTTTCACGGTATTGTTCTATTTCATTGGGCCTAAATTCAGATAAAGGGTTTCTTTGGAATATCATACTGGTTAAACCAATGTTATTCATAGTATAGTTCAGTATGCCATAGAAGGAATAGAAAATTTTAAAGAAAAAGCTAGAGGCAAATAAAGAAACAAAAATCTAAACTTCTAGCTCAGTTGCAACTATTAAAGGTTGCTTCCTGTCATCAGCTTTAACCAAGTGGCACCATACTACAAAGGGAACTGAGCTTCACAATTCGTTCTTGGCCAGGAGGATCAACGCTCATGTAAGAGAAGACAAAGCACTGGCCTGGGCCAGGCAAACATTTCTTGTCAAATTTGAATCCAATAATCCCCTATGAATATTTGCCTCAGCCCAACAACTCTGAAACTAATGCATGGACTCAAAAAAAAAAAAAAAATAATGGCTAGAAATCTGAGAGATATAAAGGGCATTTTCAGCATAAATGCTAACGGGGGTGGTTTTAAGTGCTGAATTAGTATCAGTCACATGAATTCAAGTCACAGCTACATTGAGTCTCAGTTTTTAAATGCCTTATCAGAATAATTATAGCTGAGAATGCAAATAGGATCATGTATATGAAGCACTTACAAATTCTGAAGTATTTCAAAAATTAAGCAAATCATATATACTTAGGTTATTAACAAATTTCAGCAGTGTATCTTGGAGCCAGCCTTGAGATACATTGCAGACAGTCTATGATGAAAACAATATGGGAAGGCACAACAGATTAGCATATAGTGGGCTTGGTATTGTGGTTATTTTGCTTAAGATTTCTTATTAGATAACGGCCAAGTGACCTCTCAGCAGAATGGTAGCATAAACTCTGCCTTCTGTGTTCACTCTGATTCTCCCTTCTGTGTGCCTGGACCGTGGAAATCGCGGTTAAATTAATCTCAGTTACAAGAGAAAGTACAGGGGAGGAGAGAGGAGGGAGAGACTGAGAGGAAATTCTCAGCACCCTCCTGCCCTCTGCTCTGCATGCTTTGAGTTGCTGCCACATTCCAAGTGGACAGGAAGGGTTGGTGCTCAGGCGCCTTGCTCCCCCAGCTGCCCAACAGGACTAATGTGCTGTGTATTCTTAAGATACATCGTAGAGTTCAGCAGAAATTAATAGCCAAGGTAGTATTTTAGCAATCAGCCGCCAAAGTTATTGTTAAAATCCTTGCCTCAATAACATGGCCAAAAGACATTAAACACATAGAATGCCCCTCCAAAGGTGAAACTCCAAGGAGAGAAAGTGTACGGTAAGATGTTGACGAGGGGGGTGATTACAGTGTGCTATGTGTGTGTACAGATTAGCAAAATGAAACCCATTTACTTGTCTATCAGTCTTCACTAACAAAATTCGTTGGGGAAAATTATGGTATTTAAGCCATATTGGTCCAATTCATCTCCCAGCAAAGAGACAGCAAAAACAGAAGAAAAAAAGTTATACAGTGAATTAAAGGTCATTTTTATTCTAAGAATCATAATCAAAGACTTATTATAGCAAGACACTTAGAGTATCTTTTTACTCCTTTAAAAAATAGTGCTGATAAGCATGCTAATTTAGAACAAGAGTAACCATCAGAAACTTTAGCCATGGTTTAATTCCAGTTAACTAGGAAAGGGGCAAGGATATTTCCAAACTTTAGCAGATTCAGCCTCATGAAAACTTTTCCAAGTTTCTAATTTCCAGGGTTTGTTCTCTTAGGCTTCATTGATGGATACATCAAATCTTTCATTTTTCCTGTTGTTGTTTTTTTCTTTCAGGTTCTCAGTTTAAAGAAATGTTTGCTGAAATAATGTGTTTTAAATTATGTTTTTAAAAGTTGCACATGTGTTTCTTTTAAAATTCATGATAAAATGCCCCTTGCAAGACTCCCAAGAGATTCAGAAATGACAGTTACATCAACATTAAGATGCTTTCATGAGGATCATTTAAACGACATTAAGCAACTTTTTCTAACATCCTCTACTTCACCAACCCCTGCCAAGCTAGTCTCTGACTGCTCTCAATGTTCTTAAAATATGCAAGATACAGAGGTCTTTTCTGTACTTTTAAGCAAGAGGAGAAAGTTCATTACAATAGAGACAGAGGGGGG